TTATAGTTGTCATTTTTTAATACAATTAGACAATCAATTATACACTTTATTACAATAAAAAATGATATTGAAATTAATAAACGTAAAACCCAATTAGGTGGGTAACTCAATTACACAGTTATAAACACAATTTCATCGTTATCTTTGATTTTGTACAAGAAAATAGAAATGAAATGTAATGAATCAATTAAATAGTTAAAATCAATTGCAATTATGATCGATAGTTAACTAATCTATCAGAATTAATCCAAAAAATAATTCATTTACTTTATTTTAATTGACTTACCTTTCTTTAATCCATCCTGTACCTTGAATTTAAAAAGAGCTAAGTTAAAATTATTAAAATTACTTCCAAGTTTTATTGCGATTGCCACCTCTAATTCATATTTCGTCTGCAAATTTTAGTAAGTAAATCGTCGCAACATGTTGCAGTATTGCCAACACCTATTTGTCAAATTCCCCGAATATCCATGTCAAATTCTCCTCAATTTTATTTTAAGTACTGAAACAATATTAAACTAATTTTATAAGAGATATTTTTAATCAACATTTTTTCTTTATACTGAAAAATTTATCTTTACACTTTTCATATTTTTGTAACAAGCATTTTACTAAATGGAGTGTTTTTAATTTCTTCCCTTGTTGCCATTAAAAAGGACACAAAAGTATCTCCATTTACTCTGCTGTTAAATTAAAAAGATAAAGAAATGAAAAGCATTAAATGATACATAAAAGGTTCCAAAATAAAACCCAAAATTAATTGTTGTGCAAGAAGATAATTACAAAAAGGGGAGTCATTCAATATTCATAAGTAACCTAACAAAACTGTTAAGTGTTTAGGTTTCTTAAAAAAGGTTCTGACTTGGCCCGGGCAATCTATTTTCAAAATCCGAACATAATACAAATAAATAAATAAATAAATTTATTGCCTCTAAAACACACAGTTACATTCACGTTAAAACAAAAGAACATTTTAATTATTTGAGACAAAAGGAGACGGCTCAGCTTTGTCTGCAACGAGATACAGATCTCATACAGAGCTGTTTTTCAGTCGCTTGCTCCTCCCTGAGGTGTTGTGCGGGAGTCCAAAGTAGCAGGCTCCCCATTTACCCGACATATACTTTTAAACTACGTACAAAGTAATTAAATGTGATAAAATCGCAAATACAAAAAAAGAAGATTAAAAACATTAAAGACAAAATAAAAACATTTCAAAAATATGAATAAAACAACCATTACGAAATGAACTAACAACAGATTTAAAAACAACACAGTAAATAGAAAATATAAAATAAACTTTCCTTTCTTTGAACTGTTTGTGTGTGTGTGTGTGTGTGTGTGTGTGTGTGTGTGTGTGTGTGTGTGTGTGTGTGTGTGTGTCTGTGTGTGAATGTGTGTGTGCGTGTGTGTATGTGTGTGTGTGTGTGTGTGTGTGTGTGTGTGTGTGTGTGTGTGTGTGTGTGTGTGTGTGTGTGTGTGTCCTTATTAATTTTGGACAAAAAAGTCCCGTAAATGTTTATTATTTTGCTACAGGTTTATTTTACATTATGCAGGATAAAATTTTAAACATTTAACAAATCGAAATAGGTTTAGTTAACTTATTTTAAAAATCAGATTGTTTGAAAAGAAAAGTCCTATCAGTTTATCGTCTTACATGGTGTTAACCAAGTTTTTTTTATTATAAAGTTTCAATCACAAAACCGCTAATTAAAAATAGTTGTTGATTTTCAAAAGTTATTAAACGAACTGTCTGGAAAATATTTAATAAATTAGGAAAACAAAAAAGTTTTACACTATATAATAGTTTAACAAAGTGAACTTTAAGCAGACAGCTGCTTAAAAATAGAACGTGACATCTACCTAGGGCTAAGTATTCCCCAGAAAGATGTTTTGCTTTAACTTTACATTACTATTCACCGAAAGCTTAACAATATGTGCGAAATATCAAAAGTTTTGAAATTGGTCTGCCTTCATCACATACGATAACAAAGTGGTACAGTACAATTTATGGCCGACTTGGCTACACAAAAAATAGCGTTAACTCTTTTAAAACTTACACTAGAGAGTAACCCTGATAAGAAATTATATTGTATATTAGTGATAGATGAAATTAAAATAAAACAATTGACGGAGTACCATGCAAGTTCTAAAAGACATTTTGGTTATAATGCCTTTGGCTACTAGCATGGTATTCTGTCGATTGCTTAATTTTCATTTCATCCATTACCAAGGTACAATAAAAAAAAATTATCAGGGTTACTCTCCGCTCTCAATTTTAATGCCATCAGCGCTTCTTGAGTAAACCCTGGTCGGCGATCGATGGTAGTGTACCACTTAGTCAATGTACGGGTGCAGGCAAACATGTTCCAAAAGTTTTACGTACATAGCGACAGGCTTTTGGTGAGTAATAGTTAAGTGTTAGGGCATAGTATCTCTTGCAAAGTTGTGAAGCTTGTTTATGTTATTGTTTTTTATGTCAAGGCATTTTTTCATTCAAATTTTCCTTGGCCTAAGTGTTGGCTTGTACTCGCAGTGGGAGTAGGACTAGTTCGGGCTTTATAAGGATTTTGTTTCGAATTGTGACTTCCGAGATAACTTATGGAATTTTGCCGGAACATCTAGCTTTCTTTTTTCAATGTAGACGATATTGTGCAATCACCACGATCACCCTAATTATATACACCCTAATAACAAATAAATAATTTTATTTTAGTCTAGTATATATATATATATATATATATATATATATATATATATATATATATATATATATATATATAACAAAGATATTTATTTTGTAAAACATGAGTAAATAAAATACAAGTGTTAAAAAACTTAAAACGACCTACATATTTTGCCATTTATGGCGTACAAAAATTAGTGCTTTTGTAAACTTAATAAAATATTTTCAAGTAGAATAATATTGGTGTCAAAGGTAATAATAAAAATATTTACTCTAAATATAATTACAGCCCAACATTACCTCCCACAAGTTCAAGGTTGGTACTGCAGTGTCAGATTCATGGTTTCTACAAGCTACAATCCAAATGTGCCGCCTAAGAGGATCTCTTGGAAATCTGTAAAAACAAACCAATAATAGAAAAATTTACCACTTTTTGTAATACTTTATTATAGAATCTAAATAAAAACTACAAACTGGATCGGCAGACAAACCCGCATGGTTGATTAACTTATCAATGGCTAAAGTTGCGGCGTTCATCACTATAGTGCAATACTTTCGGTTGCAGTGATACCAGTTTATTTTTATAAAAATTGCACACTTTTGCTGCGAGGTAGCAAGTTTCGATTTGACTTATTTGGCCTGTATTTTGTATATTTTAATAAATACTATTTATCGATTATATTTATTTATATAATATTCAGTATCGTGTTGAAATTGAGCTGAATATATAAATCATTTAACAAAATCCACTACACATCTATATGTAGTGATTATTATTCATCACAAACTGATTTAGTTATTAGGAAATATATTTTCGTTAATATATATAACTTGTGTAGTAAATTATATTTATTTAAAAGTAGATTATTTTTCACTTTATGACCTATGATGGCCACACTCGGTATTGGACGATAATATTCACAAAGTACGAGTTTTAATGATAAAATTACTTTAATATTATGTTAAAAATACTTACAGATGAAAAGTCACATTGTCCTTTTGTATACTTGACGTTTTTGATTGTTTTTTCATGTAAACACACTACAATTCGGCATTTTGTCGGAGCTCGATTTACTGGCACGATCACTTCGGAATGACGCACGACGCGGAGGAACTAGTTTTATATAACGAGTATGAGTCGGACTCTCGTACGTTTTACAGAGGGGTATGCCTTGCGATGCCGTCTCCTTTGGTTTAATACTCAAAGGTGGAGGAGCAATTGTGTGTGAGAACGAATACTTCGACAGGAAATATCTTTGATCCAGGTGAGTTTTTCGAAAAGGTATTCTAGCCTTTTGTTCCAAATTACCTTTTGAACTATCGAAGCATAGTGTAATTCTCTCCTGGCGCCCATATTGAGTACGCCTTTTTTATTTAAGTATGGGGTTATAAATTGTCTTCTTGGTACATTACAACAGTATCGAACACATGCATTTTGTACTCTCTGTACTGCTCTTTCGGTATTAGCTGACAATTTAGGGCCAAAGACTGAGCTGCAGTAGCTCAATTGTGATAACACCAATGAGTCACACAAGAGAAAGCGTAGGTCCTCTTTAATATACGGTCTTATTATACAAATCCCCAACCAACTTTATTTTCACCGTAATTTGTGGAATTCCCCACATGTTGGTATTGTAAATTGCGAGGCGACACGGGTCGACCGAGTGGCGGCAGCACGTGTGTGAAAGGGAAGGGTAGAGTGAGCGAAGAGAAAACATTAATTACCCATGCATTGTTTGCTCATATTTATTCTGTGGTTTCGTAACGAGCTAAATAAAGGAGTTCAGCATCCGCGCGCTTATTGATCCAATAATCAGCTGGTACCTTTTTAATTTTCACTGCTGGTTTTATTTTTCAGTATTTTCATGATTTTTTTATGAAATTATTGTTTCATTTATCTGTACTAACATGATGGAGCATGAATAAAACGTTGTGAAAAGATGATTTTTTTTCATTAGGATCGATTTTATCCCATACCATACCCATCGTTAGCGGTATCGTTAGTACTATAGTCTGTCTTCGTTTTCGAGAGCGTTTCATTTATATAAAATATATTTATTTCCTATTTCATTTTAAGATTATTCTTGGTATTACCTGTTTATTAAAACTAAATGTAAATTTTTTGATGCAAATTATTTTCAATAATCTTACAATACTTGAAACTGGCAAAAGTACAACCGTACAAGTCCACAACAAAAGAAGAAAAAGCCTTTGAAGTTTGAATTTGAAATAAACGACTGAAAAGTACAAAATAAGGCCCTTATCTCCTTTATATTTATTTTGTGTTTATTTTATTTTTTTTGTTTTGTGATACGTAATGGGTGAAGTTGAAGACCAAATTAATGAATGTAATATGAGTAATTCAGAAGTCACATTTGATAATTTCACAATTCTTAAGGAATTTAGTAACCTAGCCAATTTAGTAAGGTAAGATCAATAATAAAACTTAAATAAATAAAGAGAAGTTATCTATATATCTTATATCTATATACCATAGTATCATTAATATTGGAGGATATTCCAGGGATGAAGATTTTCTCGAAATAGTGCCAAAAGCAAAGATAAGACGAGTAAAATGGGTACCGATGTTTGATTGCTTAAAACAAGGTATACTCGATGGTATGATACAGGAAATTACCTTAATGTGGCAATTTGAAAATATGCCGGAAAAATTAGACATTTTGGAGAAACTAAGGGAACACTTCACAGAAATAAATCCAGATCAAAAAGCTTGGTAAGTTTGGAAAATAAGTTTTACTTAAAGGCCACAACAATATGCACCTAATGTATAACTAACTACTTCATATTTTGCCCAATTTTTGTTATGTATGTATATGTTCAGTTGTGGACTTTGGAATGGATACTGGAATTGTTATGTCAACTTCAAGAATGAGGAATATGTTACTTATAACATATTCATCATTGAATGGAGGTTAATATTTAAGCCACATAAATGCAATTATAAAAAAATAAATGTTAAGGTTTGTAAAACAAAACAAGAAATTTGAGGTCTGGGCAGTCATTAAGTGTTGCATGGTGTCCTGTTAACAATTTTTACTTTTCAACAAATTGAATACATTAAATATTTTACCAGATATCTAGCATTTACTTTACTGGGAATATCATACAGAAGTCTATACAATTACTGTTTATTCTTTTTTAACTTGCTTTCTCTTCACAATAGAAAAAAAAATTCAAGGCATCTTATCTTCACTAGATTTTATGTATATATCCACCCAATATATTGTCAAATATAGACTTGTCTCTTATAGTTAATTTAAAGTCCCTTACCATTATAAAACTTGATTTGAACAATCACATTAACTATATTACAATCAAAGTATATTGTATATTTGGTTTTATTATTCACTCTTGTAGTGAATTCCTTCAACCCATTTCATATATCTACTTGTTTAGTTCTCTGATCAGACCGATATTGAAGTACGACTCAGGGTTGCCATTCTACAAATTTTAAAGTCCCTAAACTATCAGAAAAAATCTGCCAGAAACAGAATTTTTCTTTTTCTTAAAATCTGCTAGATGTCCCTAGGTATATTTTCGTGGTACCATTGGGCTAACTGAAAAATCATGCCAAATGGTCAATGAATACCGAAAATCTAAAACTATAAATTCAGTAAAACCTTAAAAGGAGAGGACTCTATTTCATATAAATCTGTTATTTATAGTGTAGGTTAAAGATATGACAACCAAAACAAAAATTATTCATGTACAAAATATTAAAAATATTGTAAAAAAAATTAATCTTAAATCTTTAAACCATTTTTAAACATTAGTCATCTTATTATAAATAAAACAATTAGCTCAATACGTTCTTGTACCTAAAATTCAAAATTAATAGCCAAGTATGGATCCAGATCTTCAAAATGAACTTCAGCGGAAGTTGAAGCTTTGCCAATGTCTCCAGTTCCCATCTTTGGTTTGCCTTTATCGACTAGGTTGACAACATCTTCGGTAATATCATTCGTTGCACAATTCTTTTTTTAATCCTTAACTGATTTCTAATCAGAAGAATGGAATTTAAAAGTTTTTCTGATAGGTTGTTTCGCAGTTTGCTTTTAACTACATTCATAGCACCAAATCAGAATATGGAGTAGGAGCAGTATTGTCACATGAAATGGAGGATGGTCAAGAACGGCCAATAGCAATGGCATCAAGAACTCTCCATGCACATGAACGACGTTATTCTCAGTTAGATAAGGAAGCCACATCAAATATGTTTGGCATTAAGAAATTTCACAATTACCTCATGGATCGACATTTTCAGATAATTACAGACCACAAACCGTTGCTTGGTATTTTTAACCCTAAAAAACCAATATCAAACATGCTGTCTCCTCGATTAACGAGGATTGCAATTGCTTTAATGTCTTATGATTATGAGATTGTATATAAACCAGGATCACAAATAGGTAACGCCGACAGCCTAAGTAGATGGCCACAACCAGTCAACGAACAATCGGAGCTATAGTTGTCTGAGGTTTTGTTGATGGCTGAGACTCCCAATGATTTTCCATTTAGTGCTAAAGACATAGCCATAGAAACGAAACGCGATAAAACTTTATCGCAGGTTATTTATTATATTCAACGTGGTTGGCCTGCTAGGATAATAGACAAAGATTTACACCCATTTTGGCTTCATCGTACAGAGTTATCATTACAAGAGGATTGTATATTATTGGCCTGCCGTGTATTAGTACCCAAATCAAAGCGCCATAAAACTTTACAAATTTTACATAAAACACACACAAGTATAGTGCAAACAAAAGCACTTGCAAGGAGTTATGTGTGGTGGCCAAATCTTAATGAGGATATAGAGATGCTGGTAAAGGGCTGTCAAGTGTTTGGAGAATCACCATATGCCTCAAAAATCTAGTCATGAATGGATCACACCAACAAAACCATGGTCAAGGATTCATATTGATTTTGCTGGACCATACCATAAAAAAAATTTTTTAATCATAGTGGATGCATACTCACACTGGCCAGAATTATTTATGGTAAATAACACTACCTCATCAACAGTTATAAGACTTTTAAGCACAACATTTGTAACACATGGCTTATGTGAAGTGGTGGTTTCTGATAATGGACCATCATTTGTCCCGAAAGAAATGAGTGAATTCCTAAAAGCTAATAATATACGTCATGTAACAACAGCGCCATATCATCTATCTACAAATGGGTTGGCGGAGAGAATGGTTCAGACTATTAAAGACAAACTGTGCAAAACGGAAGATTTAGCATGGGACACTAAAATACCAAATTTGTTGCTTGGTCTTAGAGTTACACCATGCACTGCAACCAATAAGAGCCCATCTGAATTACTAATGAAGAGATGTTTACGTACACTTTTGGATACAATACATCCAGATTCAGCAAAACATTAAAAAACTGAAACACAAATCAGCAATAACAGTCAAAGGAAAAACAGGGAAACTAATGTAGGTCAGGAGATTATGTATCACAACTACGACAGTACTAGCCCAAGATGGCTTCCAGGAAAAGTAATTAACAAAAAAGGGCCATCAAATTATGAGATTAGGACAAATAATGGTATAACAATCAATCGACATATTGATCAGTTAATTAAAAAAGGGCCTAATATTCAATATGAGGATTCTGAAATGCAGGAGGGGGCAAGAATGGTTAGAACCGCTGAATCAGTAGAGGATGTATATATACTGAGAATTCAGGTAGTGTCAACAACGAAGAAAATCAAGAAAGCAGTCAAGACTCTGATATAATAATTGAGATTCCAAACTCTAATAAATGGGCAGAGATGTTAGGAATACTATCAACAGCAGAGACTACACTTTCAATAAGCAGAAAGATAAAACATAAGTCAAGTTTACATTCCAAAACACCATATGAAAGATCAAGTGCTAATAGAGAAAATCTTTATTTATCTTAAGTTTGTATTTGTATGTAATGTGTATTAATAAGTATCATAAATTAGACATAATTGATTTCAAAAGTTATGTACCTATCTTGTTTAAATAATTATATTGTTTATGTTATTTACTAATGGGGAAGGTATGTCATATTCAAAGATTTATTGTTATTTTATTTGGGGGTACTTGTTTACTTTGTTAACTAATAAAGTAAATTGAATGTAGGTATTTTAAGTCTTTGTCTTTTGTCATGATACCAAGCTTAATATGTAACAATATTCAACCTGTTTTATTCTATATTCTGAACATATTAGCCTCTAAAAGGCTTGGCGTGCTCAGCAGAGCGTATTTCATGCTGGCACACCGCCTGCAACTTTACAAAGCGCAGGTTCGGCCGCACATGAAATACTGTTCCCATCTCTGGGCTGGGGCTCCCCAGTACCAGCTCCTTCTACTTGACCGCATCCAGCGCAGAGCGGCTCGAATCGTCGACGACCGAGTGCTTTCTGATCGGCTCGATTCACTGGCGCTGCGAAGAGATGTTGCATCTCTTTGCATTTTCTTTCGCATATACCATGGGGAGTGCTCTGAGGAATTGTTCGGATTAATCCCAGCCGCCAAATTTCGTGAACGCACTACACGGCAAACGTCCTGATACCATCCACACCATCTGGATGCTTGGCGGTCCACCACTGTACATTTCAAAAGGAGTTTTCTTCCGTGTACAACCTCTCTGTGGAATAGTTTACCACCGGCGATTTTTCCGAACCGATACGACCTGGGGACCTTCAAGAAAAGAGCTTACTCCTTTCTAAAGGGCCGGCAACGCACCTGCAATTGCCCTGGTGTTACGGTTGATCATGGGCGGCGGTAGTCGCTTAACATCAGGTGAGCCGCATGCTCGTTTGCCCCCTCTTCTATAATACAAAGAGAGATGCAGAGAACTTTGAGGTTTCTCGGGGTGATGACATCCATTTTCATATCCAAGATGGTGGACATTTTTTAATAATATGATATGGATATCAATTTCGAAGTGTTTTAGGGTGCTGATTACGAAAATAGAATCTATTTTGAAATCCAAGATGATGGAATTTTCTTTTGAATAATATGATACGGATATCAACTTTGAGGTTTCTGGGGGTGACAATTATGGAAATTTATTAATAGGTAGTTTATTTAAAAATGTCAGATGCAAATTATGGATGGAAGATATTGAAGACCTGATTTAGTTGTAAAAACTTTTAAAAGTCTATAGAATTGCAGTTTGCATTTCAAAAAATGTATGCACGGGAAGAAATCACTAAAGAAAACTGCTATACCAATGGTAATTTTACCAACCAACTACTGATGATGTCGATGTAGATCTAAAATAAATAATTAAATTAGTAAAAGTTGTTAATTTTTGACAACCCTAGCCTCCATGCATTGTCGAGACGATCAAAGGCCGGTCATCCTACTGTATGTCTTTATTATATTGTGCTAATATGTTGTAAACAATGTTGAAAGTACATAATATGCTTACAAACTTTGAAATTTACGTTTGGATCAGTTCGATTATCGTCTTTTACAAGTGAAATAAAATAAATTTTTACTTAAGTAAAATGTGCCTTCTTTAATAATTAAAGTATTTTCGCTCTCTTTTGATAATACTTTTGTACATTTGTTTGTATACTTTAATAAATAAAAATAAAATAAATAATATATAAGACAAATGTCTTCAATTCAGTGAATTATCTTTTAAAATCAATCATCTGTTTCAATCGTGTTTTACATTAATTCTTTGTGTAAAGCAACATTCTCTATCATCCAAGTATTATCCCATATATTTAAGTAAACAATGACTAAACAATTAATAATATCCCAGTCCAAATGTATTATTACTTATTAGATAAATTATACAGTCAATTAATAGTTATTTAGAATTATAATCATGTTATCAAATTATTAATCAAATAGACAATAGCAATGTAATTTATGTTAAATACATAAATTACATTGCTATTGTGTAGAATGGGTTGTGACACTTTTGAGGACTAAGGTAGAATGCCTTGTTACCCTAGCCGACCCATTCATGATGCAACTACCACATAAAACATTTTTAATTTTTTTTCCTACTGTAAGTTTTGATATATTATATTTTCCATGCAAGGAGTTGATTGCTTTTCGATTGAATTTGTTACTTAAATTTTGCGACTTTTTAAACCATTGTGCCAGTGACTTGGTTTGGCAAAATAAATTAACTACACGTAAGCAGATGTCGTGGATTTAAAGTGATGGTGTCAGTCACAGATTTTTGTCCATATTCGACTTCAGGCATTAATTAATATTTCATAGACCCACCCTGACTTTGCCTAGGATTGTATCAGTGTATCACTAATATGCTAAATGAATATTTTGAAAATGTTTATTCATGTCTTAATAGCATGCAAATATCGCCCTCAGCTCAATATAAGGCAGTTATATGTTGATAATACAGACTGACACTTCAATATTATATATATATATATATATATATATATATATATATATATATATATATATATATATTCTACGAATCAGAAGTCCTCCCAGAAGTCAGTGTTGCTATAGTCCAATAAACCGGCAAATAATTTTGTTTGTTAGTTACTTATTAGTTATTAGATATTTTATTTGAGGACTAAAAATTTGACCCTAAGTAATGTAACTTTTTCTTAATTTTAGGAGACCACAACATAATGATGTCAAGATGCAATTAATAGCGCATGATATGGTTAACTTACAAAAAGAAAAGACATTGTTGGAGTCTTTAGCTAAAGAATATGAAATAAGAGTTAATAGAAGAAAAAAAAATATAACAGCCAAAAGAGGGTACTTAAAAGCTCTGCAAATGGATATAAATAAGTATCAAAAGATAAATGATGATTTTATTTCTAAGATTGGGGAAAAAATTGAAAATCACAAAAATCTTCCAGAAAAATTAATATCTGTGAAAACCAATTTTGATGATAATAATTGGTGTGAAAGTGATCCTATGGAGGATGAATAAATAAATGACGTCCTTAGATATTGAGTAAATTTATATTCAGAAAAAAATTGTACACATCTGGAAAAAGTACAACAAAATTTTATATCTAAGTTAACTCAATTTCCTTTTAATCTATTTTTACAAGTGTGGATGAAAATAGAGGAGAATAACTTTTAAGTGTAATTATTAAGTGAAATCACATTAATCTTATTTTGCAGCACATAGTCACTAAAAATAGCATATAATCAAAGTAGTGGAAACGAGAAAAGTTTGAAATATATTAATATGAAAGCAAAATGGTAAGTAGTAAGTAATAACATAGTGAAACTTTTAGAATGATTGATCTTATGTAAGATTTAATAACTCAAATTAAATAACATAAATTTTGTAGTTTTCGTTTTAAAACAGCAAGAAATATTTTTATAAAATGAAAAGAAAACGAAAATAAACTTCTGACTTTAAATAGTAATATTTATTGAATATTATTAGATATTTTAATATAGCTAAAAAATAAAATTGTACAATGCAAAACCTGCATATAATTTAAATATTATCATAATAATATAGCAATTGCACTATTGTTGCGAGGACTACACTGCTGCTACCGCCATTTAAAATTAAATTGATTGCATCATTTTGAGACTTACTACATATTGAAGATATAGCCTCAATTGGGCGATCTTACCAATCTACCAAAATTTTACCAATCATATACTTATTCCATACTATCCATAAAAATTAATACTGAGTGCAAATTATCATTAATTTCACTGGGAACATTCAAATATTTCCTTCTAAATCATAAGTAGTGATTTGCAATGAAGTCCTAGAACTGAAAAAATACATCAAATTAGCTACATCTGATGAAGGTTAATATCATGCCTTAGGCCAGTTTTCACAAAAGGATCATTAATTTTGAAATACATAAATATATCAATACTAAAACAAAATGTATGACTAAGTTTTTGAAAAGAAATTCTTAACTAGAATGTTCAATTGAACCAATCCTCACATACCGAGACCTATATACTTTACATTTTTGTAGGCACATTAGTTACAGAAGATAAGCAGTGCTTTCGATCCTCTACAACTTAAAAATAGATAATGATATATGTAAATGTTATGACGCTATGTCCAATGCCCGCATCTTTCGGACTGCATGCCACTTTAAACATCAACAAAACAATTTCACTATTACATTAGCTCAACATGGTAAAATCTGTTTTAAGCTGCATACTATCAGGGATCGAAAAAGCTGTAGTCAGAAATCATTACCGAATAAAAGACCTCTCGACATAGTATTAAAATCTCAGTTAACTAAACACATAAATTAATATCACTCGTATTTATAATAAAAATTAAAAATAAGAAGGCACAAGCAAATTGATAAATAATTTTAACATTATAATAACATTTTATTCGGCTCTGCTCTAGACTACTTTTTAAACATAGTTATAATACTTGATATATATTATAAATTATTATTAGTAGCATTCTTCTCACTGTGCAGCACACTGGATTCCAAACGTCAGTTATTTTTTCTTAGGAGGTGATCTTTGAGGTGTGGCTGGTCTTCCACTGTTAATGCCATTGTACTGATACTTTGCTTTCTTCTCAGAAGGCTTTAATATCTATAAAAAAAAATAATATTACTCATTATCTATTATTGAAGAACACATTGCGACCTGTGCTAGAATGTAAGATGTATACTGTTGGTATTAATTTTACTGAACATGTTATTTTAAAATACTTATTATCGTAATTGGTGCATTACCTGGAAAGAGCACATAAGTGTCTCATCAACAGACATCATGCCACCAGCGTTATCAAATTCTCCACAGTAATTTGGTGCAGAAAAGAGAGTAACAAGTTGCCTCTTAGCAAAGAATTCATAACCATCTTCAACCACCTAAAATTTTAAAATGTGTACAAATTACCTATGTATATATCTTTAATAAAATATATAAGGATGAAATTGAAATGGAACTCTAACGTGAATTGAACCTTGTATTCTACTCATATTAAAGAATATTTTAAAGAAATTAAAATTAGTAACGACACAGAATAAGTATATAATAAGTTATAGCAAAACCGCAATAAAGGTGGTATTCATTTATACCAAATAATCTGAAAAGTTTCCGACCTCAACGTGAAGATGGCAGCGCTCATCAATAAAAGCTAGTGAATGTAGTTGTGCATCTTTTGATTCTTTTGACAGTTACGCACCAAAATTTCAGCCATTTTGGACGCGTAGTTGTTATTTGGCGGTCATTTGAGTGTTTTTGTCTAACACTAATTACATACATACATATACATAGAGAGAAACTATTATTCTACATAAATTGAGTCAATATACTTGTCAAGCTTCTTCTACTTTAATTTTCAAATTAAGATAAAAACAAACTCTTTCGATAGATCATATCTTCTGATATTTTCTTTTTATAATATAAGTGTGACAAACAAGCACACAATCTACCTGATGGTAAGTGGATGCTGTGGCCTATAGACATATACATTTAAGCTCGATTAAGAATCAAAATGCAGATGCGTTATCACCCTGAGGACTAAGCAGGAATGCCTCGATTCCAGTAAGACGATCATGTAAATAGTTTTCTAAATCAAGTGATGATTTTTTGATGAATTATTGCAAATAATCGTTTCGTGAACTTTAAAAACTAATAGTAAGGGAGGTATTAATACTAAGTTTTGACAGACATACGATACATAAGCAAGTTGGTTCCCATCTATAATCCAAATTTTATATGCTGATCAACAATCTTCTCCAGTTTCGCACAACTGTTTTCTAGATTTCGACACTAGCCGGGTCTAAATGTGAGTGTTCAGACGTTCTCAAGTGATGATTTCATACATGCAGAGATTGATTTTTTTAATATAGATTTACCACTTGCTTAGCGAAAAATAAACCCATCGACTATATTTAACAAAGCTTTATCAGCTTGGATGAAAATATTTCGAAATCATGAAGTTAAGGTCAAGATAGTAGTCATAGCAGTGCCCTCTGTGTACACTCCGTGAAGCAAGCCCAGTGTTGATTAAACAAACAGTTATTATTCCATGTGAAACCATAATAAATCTAAGTATAATTTGCCTGAAATACTCCAAGTGAATTTTTTATGAGATATTCTGGCTTTTTATGTTTCATGTCGGATGAAGCTTCCATAAACTTTCATTAAATAAATAAGTATTACGAATCGGATTAATAAAAATCCTTAATTTTACTAAGTCTAAGGGTCTTCCCACACATACCACAACCACAACACGTGGGCGGGCGCATTTTGTATCGGAAATGAATAGTAAAATTTACATGTATCACATTTTGCCATCATAATCGACTGCGTGAGTGATACCGACCACAATGCAACCACGACGCAACCACAGGGAACTAGTGGCCGCTTCTAGCGACAACACAAGCACATCGACATTTTGTCGCATAACCACAACGCAAGTGCAAAAAGCTGCAGTGACATTTTTTCGCTGGATGTGGTGTGGTTGTGGTACGTGTGAGTCGATCCATAGAAAAAATGAAGTTAACGACGCTTGTCGTTTCGCTAATGGCACATCAATAGGTGTCTTTGGAATGAAAAAATGGCAACAACATTGTAAAAGAATGAAGGTGAGAATAATATAGCTATCTTATTTTTTACCACGTTAAGCGTCATATGTATGAAGAGTTCAGCTATACAAACATTGTTCTTATTTTAGAACTCTCTCTATGCAAGTAATTACTCTGAGGTTTTTATGAAAATGGAAAAAATTGAGTATCGAGCTGTCATAATTTTTTTTTGTATTTGAAAGGCAATACGCCTACGCATATCAAAGATCAGTTGGACTCTCTATATGGGGACTGCACCATCATTTACCACAGTGAAATTTTGGGCAGCTGAATTTAAACGTGGCCATAAGAGATTGTTCGGGACATCCAAAAACTGCAACTACTAACGATAACACCGCTAAAGTTTACTAAATGGTACTACAAGACCGCTGAAAAAAGTAAGAGAGTTAGCAGAGGCTATGAAAATGTCAAAAGAAAGTGTTTGTCACATAATAAATCAAGATCTTGGCATGAAAAAGCTGTCAGCGAGTTGAGTGCCGCGTTAACTCACGTTAGACCAAAAACGTGTTCGAATGTACATTTCCAACACTTTGCTGGCGCAGTTTAGGCGCAATAAATCCCAGTTTTGTCGCCGATTTATTACTGTAGATGAAACTTGGATACACCATTATAAGCCCGAAACAAAAATACAGTCAAAACAGTGGACTGCAAAGAGGGCACCGGCGCCAAAGAAAGCAAAAACTGTTTTTTCGGCTGAGAAAATGTTGGCGATTGTTATTTGGGATAGTCATGGAGTTAACTAAATCAATTATCTTCAAAAAGAAAAACCCATTACAGGAGCATACTACGCATCATTACTTGACAAACTGAAGGCAAAAATTGCGGAAAATGGCCACATTTGCAGGAAAACCTTGTTTCACCATGACAACGTGCCGTTTCACACCTCAGCTGTTGCCATGGCGAAAATTCACGAATTACGGTTTGGCTTTTTTTTTTATAGAATAGAGTGACAAACAAGCACACAGTCCACCTGATGGTAAGTGGTTGCTGTGGCCCATAGACATCTACATCTATCCAAAATGCAAATGCGTTGTCACCCGTGAGGACTAAAATGGAATGCCTCGTTTCCAGTAAAAAGGGTCTCTGGTTCTCTACACTCACCATACGAAATACAGCAGCATTAAGCTACTATTTTAGGCTGGTATTCTGTGAGAGTGTGGTCCTTCCTCGGTCGAGACGACCCATTCGTGCCACAACTATACTACAAATATAACTGCAGCATGTCTCTACCATGTAAACTGAACTGCTTGACCATCCGCCTTACTCTACTTAGATCTAGCCCCAAGCGAATTCTTTTTATTCCCTCATCTAAAAACTGCGCTTGGAGGGCAGAGATTTTCGTCAAATGAGGAGATAATCACCTTCGTGAACAATTATTTTGCAGCGA